CGGGCCTCCGCCGGGAGCCGCTCCCAGAGGCGCGTGATGTCCTTCACCAGCAGCGCGGGGTCGAGCACCGCCGTCTGGAAGCCACCGGGCTCGATGATGGAGACCTGCACCCCGAAGAGACGCATCTCCCGCCTGCCCGAGGTGGGGATGTGAGCCAGGGCTGTCCCGAGCTGGGCAAGGGCTGGGGGGGGCGAGGGGGAGCCCGTGACCCCCCACCAGGCACCCCGTCACGAGCACAGAGGAGCCTTGTCCTTGCTCAAGAGTCCCTCGAAACCCTTCACCTGATTGCACAACTGTGGCTCCCGCCGTGCCCGGGTTCCCACCCTGTGGCCCGGTCAGGCTTTCACAAGGTCCGTGGGAAGGATGGAACCGGGATCCACCCTAAACCCTGTGTGGGGCAGCGAGGCAGAACAGGGGGAAGCACCGGGGGCCACCAGGGCTGTACCTGAGGCTGTCAGAGAAGGCCTCCACGCCGAACTTGGAGATGCAGTACCCGCCGCCGAAACAGGAGACGCGGCCCATCACGCTGGCCACGTTGACCACGCGGCCCCGCGCCCGCCGCAGCAGCGGCAGGAGGCTCAGCGTCACCTCCACCAGCCCCACCAGGTTGACATCCAGCACCTTCCTGAAGTCATCCTTGGTCAGCCACTCGTTCGGGGCGGTGGGGATGGTGGTCCCTGCGTTGTTCACCAGCCCCCAGAGCCCTGCAGAGGGGAGGGGATGAGCTGTGTGCCACAGCCTCATGCCCAGCCCTGGCTGTGCCAGCACAGCTGGATGGGGGTCTAGTGGGGTGACAATGGGGGTGACAATGGGGTGCCTGCCCCATCCTACCTCGGTCACCCACACGCTCCCGCACCCAGGCTGTGGCAGCAGCGATGCTCTGGCTGGAGGTGACGTCCAGCAGCACGGTCTGGAGCCGCGGGGAGGCGGCCGCCCGCAGCCGCGCCGCCCCGGCCTCGCTCAGGCAGGCGGCCAGGACCCGCAGCCCGCGCCCGTCCAGCTGCCGCGCCAGCAAGTTCCCGAAGCCGCTGTCGCAGCCCGTGATCAGCACGTGCTTCTCCCAGAGCCCCGGCACCGTCTGCCGCTCCTGGTGCCAGCGCCGCAGCAGGAACAGCCCCGCCAGCACCAGTGCCACGCACAGCCACATCCTCAGCGGTGGCACTGGGGTGACAGCCGGGGCCGGCGGAGCTCGGGCCGTTTATATAGAGCCAGGATTGTGGCAGGACCTGGGGCGAATTCTGCCTTCCTGGTTTGCAATTCCCAGCTCTGCCTTGCGCCATTCTCTGCCCCGGAGGCTCTGCTGTGCCCTCAGCAGGTGAATGCCACTGCCCCCCTGAGCTGGATTTAGTGCCACCCTCCAGCACCAGCCTTGGAGCTTTCCCTCTCACCCAGCCTTGATGGGGGACTAGAGGCTTCCCAGCCCAGTGCCCAGAGGCAGATCTGCCCAGGTTGGAAGAAGCGTGGGTTTGATTTGTGCGTGTTAATCCCTGGAGTGCCACTTTGGACAAGTCCAGCTGTGGCACCCCCAGTTGGGGTGCAGCCCCTGTGTGGAGCAGACGCCTGGGGGAAGAGTCAGAGCCCCCAGGAGCCCCCATGACACATCCTCAGTGCCACAGCCTGAGGGTGACATCACACTGTCCCAGGAGGGGATGGGGGGGGGGTGGTCTTTATTCAGGACAAACCCATCTGTGGGCAGAGAACAAACTTAGGGACCTCGGCCTGGCGCTGGTTGAGGGCGATGCCGGATCCCACCGCCCATCACCAGGCCCTGGCTTAGGCAGGGCAGTGCCTCAGCCTGGCACCCCCCCTGCCTTAGGCTTTCCCCATGGTTTTGGGGTAGAACAGGGCGAACACGGCGTCGGTGAGGGCCGAGGGCAGGTAGCTGAGGGGGATGTAGAGCAGCTTGGCGTCCCAGCCGGCGGAGTATCGGGCACGGGGGTGGAGGCTGGTCAGCGCGTGCTCCATGCAGTTGGTGACCCGAGACAGGTCAGAGTTGCAGCTCTTCTCGATCAGCTTCAGCGATGCCACAACTGCAGAGGCAGAAAATGCCGCTGGGTCCGTGCAGCCAAGCAGCTCGGTGGGGTGTCAGGGTGGTGGGACCCCCGTGGGACCCCCTGATTGTGGGGCTGCGACTCGTGTCAGGAGAGAAACGGCATCGCTCAGCCTTTGGGAGAGGTACTCACACTGCTTCAAGTAACTCTCCCCGTAACTCGTTTTGATTTCTTCTGGAAGCTTCTCCCAGGTGGAGAGAAAGTTCCTCTCCAGGTTCTCGACGTTGGTGATCATGGTTTTGAAGTAGCCCGGCTCGATCACGCTGACCTTCACCCCGAAGCTGCGCATCTCGAGCCTGCGAGGGATGGAGTGCTGTGGGACACGGGGGCAGCGCTGGGACGTGGCCACGGCTGCCTCTCCCACGGGATGCACGGCAGCCTCGTGCCGGAGGAGCAGAGCGTGACCCGAGCACGTGGCTGAGGCAGCGTGTGAGCAAACATGTGCCACATCTGGATGGGCTGTGCTGGGGACAAAGCAAAGCTCAGGACTGCAGGGCCGCGTCCCAACAGATCCCGGAGGGGTGCAAGGTCCGACAGGGAGGCTCCGTGCCAGGACAGGCGCCGTTCACGCTTCAGCAGCGGCTACAACCACTCGACCTGTGCTCGGCCGTGGTGGCGCGGGGATGGGCACTGAGAGCCGTGCCAGGCAAAGTTCAGAGAAACAAATTGGGAAATCAGGGAGGTGCCGAGCCAGGCTCACCTGAGGCTGTCAGAGAAGGCCTCCACGCCGAACTTGGAGATGCAGTACCCGCCGCCGAAGAAGGAGACGCGGCCCATCACGCTGGCCACGTTGACCACGCGGCCCCGCGCCCGCCGCAGCAGCGGCAGGAGGCTCAGCGTCACCTCCACCAGCCCCACCAGGTTGACATCCAGCACCTTCGTGAAGTCATCCTTGGTCAGCCACTCGTTCGGGGCGGTGGGGATGGCGATCCCTGCGTTGTTCACCAGCCCCCAGAGCCCTGCAGAGGGGAGGGGATGAGCTGGGGCTGTGCCGCAGCCTCATGCCCAGCCCTGGCTGTGCCAGCACAGCTGGATGGGGGTCTGGTGGGGTGACAATGGGGTGTCTGCCCCATCCTACCTCGGTCACCCACGCGCTCCCGCACCCAGGCTGTGGCAGCAGCGATGCTCTGGCTGGAGGTGACGTCCAGCAGCACGGTCTGGAGCCGCGGGGAGGCGGCCGCCCGCAGCCGCGCCGCCCCGGCCTCGCTCAGGCAGGCGGCCAGGACCCGCAGCCCGCGCCCGTCCAGCTGCCGCGCCAGCAAGTTCCCGAAGCCGCTGTCGCAGCCCGTGATCAGCACGTGCTTCTCCCAGAGCCCCGGCACCGTCTGCCGCTCCCGGTGCCAGCGCCGCAGCAGGAACAGCCCCGCCAGCACCAGCGCCACGCACAGCCACATCCTCGGCGGCGGCACCCTCGGTGACAGCCGGGGCCGGCGGTGCTCGGGCCGTTTATATAGAGCCAGGATTGCGGCAGGACCTGGGGCGAATTCTGCCTTCCTGGTTTGCAATTCCCAGCTCTGCCTTGCGCCATTCTCTGCCCTGGAGGCTCTGCTGTGCCCTCAGCAGGTGAATGCCACTGCCCCCCTGAGCTGGATTTAGTGCCACCCTCCAGCACCAGCCTTGGAGCTTTCCCTCTCGCCCAGCCTTGATGGGGGACAGTGTCCCATGGCAGTGGAGTGGGGCAGCCCCCACTGAGTGCCTCTGCAGGAGAAGGAGGAGGTGGAGGAGGAGGAGGAGGAGGAGGAGGAAGACGCTATTAGAGGCTTTCCAGCCCAGTGCCCAGAGGCAGATCTGCCCAGGTTGGAAGAAGCGTGGGTTTGATTTGTGCGTGTTAATCCCTGGAGTGCCACTTTGGACAAGTCCAGCTGTGGCACCCCCAGTTGGGGTGCAGCCCCTGTGTGGAGCAGACGCCTGGGGGAAGAGTCAGAGCCCCCAGGAGCCCCCATGACACATCCTCAGTGCCACAGCCTGAGGGTGACATCACACTGTGCCAGGAGGGGATGGGGGGGGGGTCTTTATTCAGGACAAACCCATCTGTGGGCAGAGAACAAACTTAGGGACCTCAGCATGGCGCTGGTTGAGGGCGATGCCGGATCCCACCGCCCATCACCAGGCCCTGGCTTAGGCATGGCAGTGCCTCAGCCTGGCACCTCCCCTGCCTTAGGCTTTCCCCACGGCTTTGGGGTAGAACAGGGCGAACACGGCGTCGGTGAGGGCCGAGGGCAGGTAGCTGAGGGGGATGTAGAGCAGTTTGGCGTCCCAGCCGGCGGAGTATCGGGCACGGGGGTGGAGGCTGGTCAGCGCGTGCTCCATGCAGTTGGTGACCCGAGACAGGTCGGAGTTGCAGCTCTTCTCGATCAGCTTCAGCGATGCCACAACTGCAGAGGCAGAAAATGCCGCTGGGTCCGTGCAGCCAAGCAGCTCAGTGGGGTGTCAGGGTGGTGGGACCCCCGTGGGACCCCCTGATTGTGGGGCTGCGACTCGTGTCAGGAGAGAAACGGCATCGCTCAGCCTTTGGGAGAGGTACTCACACTGCTTCAAGTAACTCTCCCCGTAACTCGTTTTGATTTCTTCTGGAAGCTTCTCCCAGGTGGAGAGAAAGTTCCTCTCCAGGTTCTCGACGTTGGTGATCATGGTTTTGAAGTAGCCCGGCTCGATCACGCTGACCTTCACCCCGAAGCTGCGCATCTCGAGCCTGCGAGGGATGGAGTGCTGTGGGACACGGGGGGCAGCGCTGGGACGTGGCCACGGCTGCCTCTCCCACGGGATGCACGGCAGCCTCGCGCCAGAGGAGCAGAGCGTGACCCGAGCACGTGGCTGAGGCAGCGTGTGAGCAAACATGTGCCACATCTGGATGGGCTGTGCTGGGGACAAAGCAAAGCTCAGGACTGCAGGGCCGCGTCCCAACAGATCCCGGAGGGGTGCAAGGTCCGACAGGGAGGCTCCGTGCCAGGACAGGCGCCGTTCACGCTTCAGCAGCGGCTACAACCACTCGACCTGTGCTCGGCCGTGGTGGCGCGGGGATGGGCACTGAGAGCCGTGCCAGGCAAAGTCCAGAGAAACAAATTGGGAAATCAGGGAGGTGCCGAGCCAGGCTCACCTGAGGCTGTCAGAGAAGGCCTCCACGCCGAACTTGGAGATGCAGTACCCGCCGCCAAAGAAGGAGACGCGGCCCATCACGCTGGCCACGTTGACCACGCGGCCCCGCGCCCGCCGCAGCAGCGGCAGGAGGCTCAGCGTCACCTCCACCAGCCCCACCAGGTTGACATCCAGCACCTTCCTGAAGTCATCCTTGGTCAGCCACTCGTTCGGGGCGGTGGGGATGGCAATCCCTGCGTTGTTCACCAGCCCCCAGAGCCCTGCAGAGGGGAGGGGATGAGCTGTGTGCCACAGCCTCATGCCCAGCCCTGGCTGTGCCAGCACAGCTGGATGGGGGTCTGGTGGGGTGACAATGGGGGTGACAATGGGGTGCCTGCCCCATCCTACCTCGGTCACCCACGCGCTCCCGCACCCAGGCTGTGGCAGCAGCGATGCTCTGGCTGGAGGTGACGTCCAGCAGCACGGTCTGGAGCCGCGGGGAGGCGGCCGCCCGCAGCCGCGCCGCCCCGGCCTCGCTCAGGCAGGCGGCCAG